GATTTTGCTTATGGTGTGAAGGGTCAAAGTTCATTTTTCCATATAAATAGCTAATTGATTGCCATTTAGATATATAGAAAAAAAGTCATCTTCTCACTGCTTTGTTTGTTCGAAATGCTGTCTTGGTCATAAACCCAGCATTTATATGTGACTGCTTTCTTTCTGGCCATCGTCTGTTCTGTTGGGAACTGCCCCACCCTTGTGCCAATACCACAACTGGCAGAGTTAATTCTCCCAGGTTATTCTTATTCACAAGTATCTTGGTTATTCTCAACCCCTTGCATTAACATATAAATTTTAGAATCAGCTTTTCAATTTCCATAAAAACATGTTGGTATTGCATCTTGTTACTTTGGGGAGAACTGACATTTTTATAATATTGACCCTTTCAATAAAAAACATGGTGTGTCCCTCTATTTATTTAGAACTTTTCTCTTCCTCCTCTCAGTGATGTTTGACAGTGTCTATGAAGAGGTCTTGAACATCTTCTGTTAGATCTTGTCCCAGGAACAGTCAAGTCACATTATTAGTGGATTCTGTAATTTGCAAATATGCCTACTTGCTGATGCGGTGTTTTCATGGTCATTTGTGGTCAATGTGGAGAGTGGCAAAAATTTTGAGTTACCCAACATTCCCAGCTGAGGTCAAACAAGATGATGTTTGTTTTAACTCTGTAAATAAGTGTCTTTCTTTCTTTCTTTCTTTCTTTCTTTCTTTCTTTCTTTCTTTCTTTCTTTCCTTTCTTTCTTATCTTTCTTTTCTTTCCTTTCTTTCTTTCTTTCTTTCATTTTCAAAGTCAATTTAGTGCCACATTTCCCACACTTTTGTGTTGTTGTGTTTGTTTTGGTGGGGGGAGGGGTGGGATGAAGGGATAATTTTGTCACTTAGTTCTGAGTATTGTCTGATGTTCCTAAGTATGAGGCTGTGCTGTGGAGAAAATCTGTGTGTTAGATGAGCTTCTTTCAGACACAAGTGATAGAGCTGTTGGCTGTGAGTTCAATGTTAATGAAACAACAATATATATTAAAGATGTCTTTAAAAAGAAACACACATAAAACAGGCTAAGTACTGATTGAAAGGGCGAGGGCTATGCCCTCCGTCTTACCCTGGATCCACCATGTTGGAGCAGTCACCATGTGCTCAGGAAAGTACCTTCTTCCCGGAAGCCGGGATTTCTTTAAACTAACCAATGACAATCAAGGAACATGCGCGCCATAGAGATGACCACATCCTGTGTAACGAGACCCGACTTGCGCCTGGCCAATCGGCAGGTCCACAGTCAGCTCCCCTCCCCTCACTCCACCCCCCCCTATTAAAGGCCCTGATTTTCTCACGGGTGGCACTCCGCCTCCGATCGCTGGGCCGGCCGGAGGGCGGGGTCGAGTTAGCTAGCTCAATAAAGGACCTTCTGCTTTTGCATCGGACTGGCTCCCTGGTGTGGTTTTCTTGGGGATCTTGAAATCTGGGCATAACACTGATTTGTTAATGAAAATGTAACCAGAGACTCAAAGGAATCTAAGGCTTTATTTCCCCCAGAAGCAATAATGCAGTGTTTACAGTGACTTTATAGAACAGAACTACTGCAAAAGATGACAGTCAACAGATATTTTTATACTTATTTTAAATGTTATTTTTTGAAATTTTCAGTTAAAAAATTTTTATTGGTATTAAAAAATCCAATTATTTTTTTTATAACTGTACTATAGTTTATTAAAATATTCAGCTAACAGACTGCATTTGAAAGTTACTGATAACTCACTCTATAACAATTCTAGAAAATATAAAGTATTTATAGTTATTCCTTTAAAAGTCTGCATTTTAGAATATTATTTTGCAAAAGGTTATAAGGTATAGAAAGATAAAACTTTACCAGTTTTATTTTTAAATGGGTGTCAAACTTTCTAATACATCATTATTGTGAGAGCAATTAAAAAGGAATGTAAATACTAAAATGTGGCAATATTTTGTAAACTAATGATATAATGAATAGTTTAGAAAACTGACAAGTCACTGTAGCAAAAAAAAGAAAAAGAACATTGTTTCATTACTCCCTTCCCCCAGTGCTTTGAATGGTTGACCTTGAACCAGTTAGTTATGATTTTTGCAAAAACAGTTATAAATTTTTGATCAGACATTAAGTTTAATCTTTGGAAGGGGACTATGAATTTTAACACAGGAATAGATTTGTGTGACCACCACCACAGGCAGGATACAGAAGAGTTCTAACACCCCAATAAACTTCCTTTTGCTACACCCTTACAGTTGCCCTGGCCCTAAACTCAAGCAATTATCTATCTGTTCTCCATTTCTATAGTTTTATCTGTTTGAGAATGTTATATAAATGCAAGAGGAAAAAGCCCAAAGTTTTTCACAATCTAGTCTTTGCTCCATGTCTCTTGCAAATAATTTTATTTTATCTTAATCTTACCTTCACAATTCTGTCAACTGTCATTTCTCTGGTAAGTATTCCTTGACTTCTGCTCATGATCATCAGGCAAATTAAGATGCCCTTTCTCTGAGCTCCCATAACATTCTGTGCAAACTTCTAGTGATTTTAATCTCTGTTAGACACCAAGTTTTTTGGAAGCAGAGATTATGCCTTATTCAAATTTGTTTTCCAATTGCCTACCATATGCATACATATGTAAATCTATAATAATAAAAGCATAATAATTAGACTGGACAGCTGAACGACCTTCTGGACATCCTTCTGGACGTCCTTCCAGATGACCTTCCGGATGAAGCTGAGGTTGTGAGGGCCGAGCCCCTTGCATAAATTTTGTGCATTGGGCCTTTAGTATAATTAGTTATTAATTATTGAAGGAATAGATGAATAATTAATAGAGATACTAAAGAGGATAACATTAAAGCTCCTAACCTTAGGTATCTGGGTGCTGGAGTTAAGGGGGGGCGGGGGGAAAGCAATGGCACATAGTAACTTTGAAAGATAAGAATTTGAGAATGTTTCCTAGAAAAAAGTCACAAATAGAAATGTGTGCCCAGATTCTATTATTTATTGCATATTATAACTCCACACATATTCAGGTAGTCCAGTATAAATATATTTTTTTAAAATATATTTTATTGATTTTTTACAGAGAGGAATGGAGAGATGTAGAGAGTTAGAAACATCGATGAGAGAGAAACATCGATCAGCTGCCTCCTGCACATCTCCTACTGGGGATGTGCCAGCAACCCAGGTACATGCCCTTGACCGAAATCGAACCTGGGACCTTTCAGTCCGCAGGCCGACGCTCTATCCACTGAGCCAAACCGGTTTTGGCCAGTATAAATATTTTAATAAATAGTAGTATTCTCATACTTGATGGCCAGTTATGATAGCAACCAATGGTTGTTGGGTGAGGAGAGGGTGAATTTCCCAGGCCAATGATTTTCAAACTATCTCTCATATTGATCATTCTAAAGAAGTCCTTCCAAAGTCAGTAGGACTGGGTAAAAGGCTCCAGATCCCTGACTTTATTTTAATCATAGTTCTGCTTTTGTTTCAGTTTGAAGAAAGAATTCTACAGCTTAAAGAATTAAAGTTGGAGCACCATTGCCTTGGATGGAGTAGCCAGCACAGCCCATGTCCACCCTTGATGCCAACTTCTTCAAAATTTATTTCCTCTAGCATATTCTTTTTTTTAAAATAAATCTTTATTGTTCAAATTATTACAGTTGTTCCCCTATTTTCCCCCAATAGCTTCCCTCCACCCAGTTCCCACCCCACCCTCTACCCTTACCCCCCCACTGTCCTCATCCATAGGTGTATGCTTTTTGTTGCTGGGTCAAAGGTCATACACATGGAAAATGTAGCTATTTCCATCCACAAAGTGTCCCTGTGCTCGGAAAGGTCTCTCACGACTTGTTCACGCTCTACTCAGAAAGGGTACGGAGATATGTAACGTCTTATGTTTAAAATGAGGATTTCGTTACCAAAAGTGAGGAGAAAGCAACACTACAGCTGCTCTCACCCCTCGTGCCCTTCGGGTGATAGTTGTGCTTGGGGCTGCGCGCTGGTTCGCGGGCCATCGACGAAGCTGTCTGGGTGGCTGGCGTGGTTCCGCCGGCTTCCCAGGGGCCATCACAGCCTGGTAGGGACCTCTCAGCCTCACTGGGGCCGTCTCAGCCTCACAGGGGCCGTCTCAGCCTCACAGGGGCCGTTTCAGCCTCACTGGGGCCGTCTCAGCCTCACAGAGGCCGTCTCAGCCTCACAGGGACTGTCTCAGCCTCACTGGGACCATCTCAGCCTTACTGGGACCGTTTCAGCCTCACTGGGACTGTCGCAGCCTCACAGAGGCCGTTGCAGCCTCACAGGGGGCACTGCAGCCTCGCAGGGGGCGCCGCATCCCACGTTGGGGGTAAAGGTGCGAGTCAGAATCTCCTCTTGCTGTCTCTCCTGCTGGAAGTTTCTGAGAGCTGTCTGCAGGTGCTGGACATCAGACTTTAACTTGTCAACACGAAGTTTGGCATTCTGTCTTTTGTTGGGAGGCTCCTTGCTGGACAAAATCTCCAGGCTTTCTAGCTGGCTGAATATCTGGTATGCTTGTTTGGGTTTCGTTTTCTACTAAGTGCACAGACTGCTTGTCTGCTGTCTCCCGGCATCCCATGTGAGACTGGATCTGGTGGACCTGCTTGTGTGTTTGCTGGTACAGCGGTTCCATATCACTGGCCCAGCTGGGTCCGGCTCCGGCTTCCTCCGAACCTTAGTCTGCTTCTTGAGTGTGTCCCTTATAGGTGCGAGGAGTTGAAATCTGCAGTTTGTTGGGTTAAGCTGTAAAAGCGCCGGTGGTTCCTTTTGTGCCTCTGGCACAGCTTAGGCGGTGATGTAAATTGAGTAGGGTGGGGTCTCAGGGAGTCACCAGGGTGGAGCAAAAAGCAATGGTGTCAGAATCCCGCCCCAAACAAGCTCAGTGGATTCGAGAGTTTGTAACCCCTTTTGATTGAAAAAACACACGCATCCAGTTGCAGCCCTCCTGGCGCACGACTCCGTACCTCTGTTCTTGGTGCCTCTGCATATCTTACTCAATCTCAATGCGCTTCTTTCTTCCCTTCCAGTTGTAGAACTTCCACTGGGCCAGCTTTCCCATGGTTCTGAATGATAGCTGTTTGCCTTATAGTTGGTAGTTTCAATGTTGTTGTGGGAGGCAGCACGCAGAGGTCTATACCTTACGTCGCCATCCTGGTTCTCTCCTCTAGCATATTCTTTAATCAGATCATTTTCTTTGGCATTTGATGCTGTTCATAGAATCCACTCCTGTCCTGCTTTCATGAATTCCTGCCATGTTTTGTAAACTACCATTAGTTTTGACAGTTCTCTGGTGGTTTGTCATGGCAATATGGTCTTCAGCCTGAAACTCCTTCACCAACCAACAGGCACTTAACCACTTCCATTCAGAGTTCTTGGCAGTGAAAATCCTTCTCAATGAGTAATTGTGCTAGCAATCAATAGTCCTTTCATTTATACTGTTCATTTTTACTTATTTATAGCATAAAATTATGAGACTTGTAAAAAAACAGAAGCAGTACTACTTGGATTCCACAGTCAAGTTTAACTCATTATAATTTAAATGTAACTATGATCAACTCATAGTGTCTTTAATTTGCAGTGTCTAATTCTGAGTGGGAAGGGAATCATGTAATTACCTTTAAAGGAGGGTGACAAAGGACTGGGAGAATTGGGAGGGGTAAAGGAACAGGGACTCCTAACAGGAAGAAGAGCAAGTTCAGTGGGTGTAGCATGTGGGAGAGGTAGAAGTTAAATAAGTTCTGGTCAGGAGAGGCCAACAGGAAGATTCCAGAGGTGAAACAGGTCTAAGGGATGACAAGATCCAAGATGTAACACTGCTGGTAGGAGGCTGACGGGTGAGGTGAAAGTCAGTGGAGTAGAGGAGGTCAGCTTGTGAGGCAACTACCAATAACAGAAAAGAAAGATGGGAAATCATTACAGATTCTATAAACACAACCTACCGAGATCTGTGGGATGCTGCAAAAGCAGTGCTTTGAGGAAAATTTATAGCTTTGAATGCATATGTTATAAAAGAAGAAAGACGTAAAATCAATCACCTAAGCTTCCTTCTCAGGAATCTAGAAAAAGGAAAGCAATTAAATCCAAAGTAAGTAGAAGAAAAGAAATACAAATTTGAGCATAAAGCAATGAAATTGAAAGCAAGAAATCAGAAGAGAAAATCAATAAAACAAAAAGCTGGTTCTTTGAAAATATCAATAAAATAATTTAGCCTCTGGCCAGGTTGACTAAGAAAAAAAGAAGAGGACACAAAAATTACTAATAATTAAAATAATAATTAGCCAAACCAGTTTGGGTCAGTGGATAGAGCGTCGGCCTGTGGACTGAGGGATTCCAGGTTTGATTCTGGTCAAGGGCATGTACCTTAGTTGCGGGCACATCTCCACTGGGGGGAGTGCAGGAGGCAGCTGATCGATCTCTCTCATCGATGCTTCTAACTCTCTATCCCTCTCCCTTCTTCTCTGTAAAAAATCAATAAAATATATTAAAAAAATAAAATAGTAATTAGATATAAGCAATATTGCTTAAAATCATAAATAATAACAATCAGAAATGAAAGAGGAGACATAACTAAAGATCTCAAGGGCATCAAAAGGATAATAAAAGAATACTATAAATAACTCTATGCCCACAAATTTGATAGTCTACATGAAATGGAACAATTCTTTGAAAGACACAATCTGTCAGAATTCACACAAGAAGAAACAGTCAATCTGAATAGGCCTATATCTATTAACAAAATTGATTCAATATTTAATAAAGAACCAGGAGGCCCAGGAGGGCTCACTGATGATTTCTATCAAACATTTAGGATAGAAATCATACAAATTCTCTACTATCTCTTCCCAAATACAGAAGCAGAGGACATATTTCCTAACTTATACTATGAGGCCAACATCACCATATTAACAAAATCAAATAGACACTAAAAGAAAAAACTACAGACCAATATCTCTCATGAATACAAATATAAACATCTTAAACAAGTATTAGCAAATCAAATCCAACAATGTATAGAAAGAAAAATACACCACAATCAATTTGGATTTATCCTAGGTATTCAAGGCTAGTTCGGCATATGAAATCAGTTAATGTAATTTCATTACATCAATAGACTAAAAAGAAATAAAATAATACGATCATATCAATTGATGCAGAAAAAGCATTTGCCAAAATCCCACACCCATTCATGATTTAAAACCCTCAGCAAACTAAAAATAGAGAAGTTCCTTAACTTGATAAAGACAGCTACAAAAAAACTTACAGCTAACATCAGACTTATTAAATAGAAACTTGAAGCTTTCTCACTAACATCAGGAACAAGGCAAGAATGTCCCCTCTCACCACTGCTTTTCATCATCATATGTAAGTCCCAACTAATGCAATAAGAAAAATAAATAAGTGTTGAACAGATAAGGAAGGGATAAATAAAATTGTCTTTGATTGGAGATGACATGATCATCCATGTAGGAAATCTGAATGGACAAAAAATTCCTGGAACTAATTTAGCAAGATTGCAGGATACAACGTTAAATTTTGCAGGATACAAAAGAATTTCTTTCCTACATACCAGCAATGAACAAGTGGGATTAAAAATTTTTCAAAATGCCATAGGTAGTAGCAAAAATAATATGTTAAGTATGAATCTAACAAAATATCCACAAAATCTATGTGAGGAAAACTACAAAATGCTGATGAAAGAAATCAAAGAAGAACTAAATAAATGAAGAGAAGTTTCATGTTTTTGGATAAAAGACTCAATATTGTCAAGATGTCAGTTCTACTTATCTCAATCAATGAATGCAATCCCAAACAAAATTTTGTGGACATCGACAAACTGGTTCTAAAGTTTAAATGGAGAGACAAAAGACCTAAACACAGTATTTACAGGGAATAAAAAGTCAGAGGACTGATGCTATGCAATCCCAAGAAAGTAAAGTTACTAGAGGCCTGATGCACGAAATTCATGCAAGAGTAGGCCTTCCTTCCCCTGGCTGCCAGCACCCGGAACCCGGGCTTCCCTCGCAGCCCCGGCTTCGTCCGAAAGCACGTCCAGAAGGACGTCCGGTCTAATTAGCATATTATGTTTTTATTATTATAGATAGTAATCAAGACAGTGTGATATTTGCAAAAGAATAGACAAAAAGATCAGTGGGCAGACTAGAGAGCCCAGAAATAGACCAATGTAAATATAGTCAACTGATCTTTGAAAAAGGAGCAAAGGCAATACAATGTAGAAATGACAATCTTTTCAACAAATGGTGTTGGAACAACTGAACATCCACATACAAAAAAAGAAATCTAAACACAGACTTTATACCCTTCACAAAAACTATCTCAAAATGGACCACAGACCTAAATGTATAATGCTAAACTATAAAATGCCTAGAAGATGACATAAGAAAAAATCTAGATAACCTAGAATTTGGTGAAGTCTTTTTAGATACAACACTAAAGGCACAATCTATGAAAGAAATAACTAATAAGCTGGATTTTATTAAAATAAAAAATTTTACTCTGTGAAAGACATTGTCAGGAGAATAAAAAGAAAGGCCATAAACTGGGAGAAAATATGATTAAGGACTACTATCCAAATTATACAAAAACTCTTAAAATTTAACAATAAGAGGCAATTCAAGATGGCAACATAGAAAGAACTGGAACTCACCTTTTCCCACAACACAACAAATACACAAGACACAACAAAAACAACTACATAAGGAAAAATTCCCTGCAATGAACCTGAGAACTAGCTGAACACTTGCTCCACAATAAAGGACAAAGGGGCCTGTAGAGCTGGGTAGGACAGGCAGAGACTGATCTTGCCAAAACCTCACCCCCAGCATGGTGACCCACCATTGGGAGGGACCTCAAAAACAAAGGAAAGAGTATATAAACAGATCTTCTTCCTAAGGAGCAGAGGGTTTGTACCCCATAGCAGCTAAAGACCTTATGAGATACCTCTCCAAAGAAGATATACAGATGCAAATAAGCACATGAAAGATGCTCTTCATCAGATGCCATCCAGGAAATGCAAATCAAAACAACAATGAGATACCACTACATACTATTAGAATGGCCAAAATCTGGAATACTGACACCAAATGCTGGGGAGGACGTGGAGCAATAGGAACTCTCATTCATTACTAGTAGGAATGCAAAATGGTTCAGCCACTTTGGAAGACAGTTTGATAGTTTCTTACAAAACTGAACATAGTCTTACCATAGGCTCCAGCAATTGTGCTCTTCTCTTTGATATTGTATACATAAAACTAGTTAAAATAGCAAATTTTATGTTAAATATGTATTTACCACAATTTAAATAGTTACTAGCATAATATTCCAAAAACCACTGAATTGTGCACTTTAAATGTGTGAATTGTTTGATATGTAAATTGTATTTCAATAAAACTGTTTTTAGAGAAAGATATGAAAGCAGAGATTGGGCAAAATAATGGCTGGCTCTTGCTGAGTTCTGTAATGTGGGACTTTTTTTACCTGAAGGGTGTCTGAGGTTGGGGCAGGCCTGGCGTGTGTCCCTGGGGACTTTCCTGTTTCTAGAGTTGTATTTACTTTTACGGATACTGCTGAATTCGGCAGAATTTTCTACATCCATTTGTATTTTGCTTGGTGTTCACTTTCTTACAAAAATGGATCATCAAAACCAAGAAAACAAAAGGTCCAATTACTACTCTTCATTTCACCCCAAAGCAAAACAAAATTAGTTTTCAATTTTTTAAAAAATATAAAGCAATGGAGTTCCTGTATTACTTCCTCTTCCATAAAACAAGTGTTTAAGATGCTCAAAATAAAGGCAACTTTCTCCATGGCCAAGAGACTTTACCTTCCAGGTGTTGGTGTGGAAGTCAATGCCACTCTCACATGGGTTTGGGGATGTATCCTCGCCCTGGTCTCAAGAGTTTTCCCTTTACCAGAATGAGGTTTCCATACCATCTGCAGCAGAGCTCCCTGGCATGCCTGTAATTCTGGGGTGACATCAGGAGTCTGCATTTCTAACCAGTACCCCTCTGATTTTAGGCAGATATGAGAACCACAAGTGTGAGTGTTTTTGATTTTCATCTACACTAAGAGGTTGCAGGCTTGACTCTACAAAAGGGTTGTGATAGACTCTATAGTGACATCACCAGTCCCCACTAGAAGCACAAACCTGCCATAACGAGCCCTGGAGGTAATGCCCTTCCTCTCCCAGATGTCTTGTGTCTGCTGAGTGACTTCTGGTTGCTGATCTGCTCTAATTGCAACAATTTGAGGGGCCGACGTTCCCCTGTGCTCTTGACCTAACCTTGGGCCTGAAACATCTCCAGCTTCAGCTTAGATCATCCTCTGTCTCCTGCCAGGTCTCTCCTACACCCAGGACAGCTGCCTTGAGAAAGTAATTTCCAAACTCTGACCCAGCCGTGGGCAAACTATGGCCCGCGGGCCAGAACCGGCCCTTTTGAAATGAATAAAACTATTGAAAAAAAAAGACCGTACCCTTTTATGTAATGATGTTTACTTTGAATTTATATTAGTTCACACAAACACTCCATCCATGCTTTTGTTCCGGCCCTCCGGTCCAGTTTAAGAACCCATTGTGGCCCTGGAGTCAAAAAGTTTGCCCACCCCTGCTGACCTGTGGTTCAGGAATATTTTAAACAAAAAGGCATTACCCTTCCTTAATGCCCAGCCCTGGGATGGTCTCACATTCTTTTAACAGCATGACAAAGGGTTTAGTCCAGTCCCCTCCTCTTGGATCAGGTTCTCTAGATACCACATCAGGGGCTGGACACAGAACTGCCCAGCAGGGTGCCTGCCCCAAGGAACAAGGCCCACTTGTGAGCGTTCTTACTGAGGTCCTGTCTTGTGTCTTACCCATCCTCCCACCTTGTGTCTGAGCTCCTCTTTAATGAGGGACATTTCCTCATATGCACCACACC